CTTTAGGAGTTAGTCATCTTTAATAATAGTTTCCCTGGACTTTGGGACTTGGCTACCCAAATCCCCCACTCACACATGGCATTGGGGGGGGGGGGTGGGAGTTGCTCCCACTTGACCAGGAGAGATTCCTTCTGGTCAGTTAGGTACAACAACCTTCAAATGGAAGGAACCCCTTCTGGTCAATGAGGTACAACAACCTTGCTGACCAGGAATTCCTTGTGTGGCCAAATCTAGAAACAAAAACTACCTCCCAAATGCACAATGAAAGTGAAAATTGTCACATAACTGTTGCACGTGAGCTGGGAGCTGATCCCGTTATCTGTTGTGCAGAGTACCCATCCTCCCAGATTGTCAGTGCCTAACTTGTTCACAACCTGGATCTGGCTGTTGCGCTTGTCAAGCCTTGCTTGGACACCAGGCTGTTTGGCGGGAAGGTGCCAGGTATAACCCAAGTGCTGGCATTCATTCCTCCTCAACAAGGAGCTGTACAGTCAAATTACTCCCCATCTGGCAGCTAGCAGGTATAAGGTACATGATGTAATCACATTGGGTCAACTTGCAGAACATTGCCAGCAAGTATTATTCACCAGCAGGGAAGTAAACATTGCCAGTGAGTTTCATGCACTGGCAAACAAGTACATCCCTGAAGGGAAGCTTGGAAGTCCAAGTCTTTCAAATGCAAATCAGATTTTTCATTACTCCCCAATGGGGTAATGAGGATTTGCCTTGAGATTATACACTGAACTCTAAATTTTTTGTTTCCAGATCCAACCACCAAATTAGGTGGTTATGCCTCATTGACTGGAAGGAATTCCTTCCAGTCAGTGAGGTCATTGTACCTCATCAGAGGTACAACAACCACACTGAATGGAAGGGATTCCTTCTGGACAATGAGGTGCAATGAGCTCATTTGGTCAATTGGGAGCAATAATCAGAATAAGGTTGATAAACCTTAAACCAATTATCACAAAGCTAGACAATCCTCTGCTTATTACAGTGAATTTTGTGTGTTATAAACACAAATTTTGGTTATGGTCATACATGCGGTCCCCTGAAATAATCTGCAGGATTTTCCAATGATATTTTGTGATATAATGGACTGCCCAACGGAGCCTTATTTTTCAAAAAAAGATTGGTATGCAAAAAAAAAAACAGAAAAATCAACAAGATGGCGGAGAATACAAGCAAAAGGACAACAAGATTTTAACACAAGAGATGGGGAATCCAAGGGAGAAAGTGTTAAAAAGAGCCTCCAAATTGCATCCTTCTCAGGCCAACTTTGAGTTTTAAATCTCTGGTGAGACTGGGCTGCCGCCCAGACCTGCCCGCATGGCACTCCCACCACGAGATCAGGATTAGTTGAGCTTGTGGCTTTGCAAGGTCTTGCTTGACTCAAGACATCGCGAGCATCTCGAGTCAAGACCTCTCGCGAAGCCAGCCTGTTGGCGAGATCTTAATGGGCCAAGACGTCGCCACGTGAGCCATTTCGTGTCTTGCAGACTTAAGATCCCGCAAGCGGACTCGCTTTACAACACTTGACCACTCGGATCAAGGGGCTTGTGCTACATAAGCTAGACACACAAGGCCACCACCCAAAAAGCTTGTTTGATCGCGTCCATCCTGTTCGATTTGGATCACATATAGCGCTCATTTGGCATCTCAGTCTTCACACATGAACCGGAACAAGAGTTGGTTTACTTTGCTCACGATGTCGGCATGATGTAGGTCGTCGAGAAGAAGCAGGAACAAACGAGTTGCTGTTTTTTTTTGTAACACACATAACAAAACGATAGATATGTATGTATCCCCGCGAAATTAAAAAAAATGCGGAGGTCAATCAAAATTATTAAGACTGTTTTTGTGTGTAGTTACTCAAAAAAAAAAAAAAAAAAAAAAAAAGAAGAAGAAAACGAATGCTGATGACAATCTAACAGAAAAAATGATTATACATGTCAGGAATGTCAATGCAGAAATGCATGGGGAGAGGCTGCCCAAGATAATTAAGAAAGGGGAGAGAAAAAAAGAGAGGGTGAACAATTAAGATTTCAAGCGGGAGGCTTTAAAGTAGTTAGACGGGAAGTAGAATTATTAACGATTTCGACTTTTCGAGCCTTATGAATGACTGGTTGGACGGAGGATAGGGAAGATACTGAGGACATTCTATTGAGGGAGAGCGGAAGGAAGGTCGGAAAACAGTTGGCTGCTGATTGGGACCATTGAGAGGACCCCCGAGTTCCAGGATGGGCTTTCTCGGTTTCCGATTCCATCACCTTCGAACTTCGATTTGATTCAGAGCCAAGACCTGGATTGGATTGGTTGGCCACGCGCATCGGGACCGCTCGCCGAGCAGCCGTCTGATCAAGGGACGAATCAGACGCAGTGACGGACAGTTTCTCCTTCGAATTGGACGAATGACTGGATCCTTGAGCAATCGAAGAGCCGGGAGACTCGTGATATTTCCTCATCCCATCAAGCGACGAACTGGAATGTTTACCGGCCTTGATGAGCGAATCGGAAGAGTTACTGATGGCGAGCAGATCGTTGGAAGAATACGAGCCGGTCCTCAATGGATGGCCTCGATGACTCGCCTTCTTCTTCACCGAATCCGAGCGAATGTTTTCGACGATCTTCGAAAGTGACCATGGTTTCCTACCCCGCTCTGATAGCTTCCAGATGGACGATGATGGCGAGGAATTTAGGAAGGGTCTAGGGGAACGGGAACCACTGGCGCTGGTGCCTTCAGAAGAGACATCCGAATTTCTGTCTCTGTTCTGGGTTTGCTTCTGCTCGACATGCAGGTTTTCTGGGGTTTTGTTCATTGCGAAAGTTGAGCCGACGGGTGAAGGAGTATTTGATGATGGTGATATGACGGGCGCAGCATTGCTGATCTCCACCGCTGGCTCTAAATTTAGCCGCTGGGGTACACGCCGTGACCTGTTCTCAGAGCTACTCCCATCACTTTCGACAACTCCGGAAGTAGAGGCTGATGCAGGACTCATGTTGGACAAGAAATTCTTCCAGTCGGAAATTATGTTCACCCCTGAAGACCGTTTGTCGTGCTTATCATCCGGGGTCACTGGAGCGGTCTGGTTTGCAGCAAGCTCAGCGGCAGAGACTTGAGTACCTTCCCGGTCAATCGAACTCCCCTCTGAAGCTGCTGTTTCCATCATGACGCTCTTCCCTGGTTCACTTATTCTAGATTGAAAGTAATCATCACTGATGTTTGGATGATTGTAAACTTGATCTGTGGAACTAGACTCGCATGAAATCTTGAATTTTTTGTCGATTGCCCTGTGAGTGGAATCGGAATCCTCGGAATTCGTTTCATTGGTGGACATTACGCTGGAAAGTGCCCGTTCTTCGCGAGACGCAACATGAGCTTCTTGATATTCAATCTTAGGGACGGAATTCTCGCTGACGGAGTTACTTGCAGAACTTGGGGGGGTCATGAATAGATCGAAATCTTGGCTTGAATTCCGATTTTTACGAACTGGCTGCAGGATTGTTTTGCTCACCCACTGAGGCTCGGTTGGATGATTCCTCCTGTATTGCCTAGCTTGTGACAATAGATGAATGCTTCGGCTTCGGATGGCTCTTGTGGATCCATCACGTGGAGTTGAGGATGGCGTTATTGCATCGAGCGTGCCGGTGATTTTCATCAATCCGAATTGCACCGGTGAAGGGTTTAAGGAAGTGGGAGCTGTAGATTGGGAGGATTCGCTTGAGGAAGATGAAGCAGCCATGCTTGATTGCCTGCGGATTTCCTCCACACTTTCGTCCAAGTCCCTGGGCGCCTGAACCTTCCGACAAAGTGTGGCCATCAACCATGCCTCATACCAGCTCGCGGTGTGATAATCAATTCGAAACTCAAGTCGCACCAAAACTCCTGCGTCCGATGAACCAGTGAAAGAGATGGAATCGAAGTTCAGATGTAAGCTTCACCAATATCAAGAGTCATGAATTTCTTACCTATGCCAGAAGGACGAGAAGGGCCCATCCACGTCGTTTGTTGAGGCTTGGGAATGTCGTCGTGCCCCAGGTAGCCAAAAAAGAGCGAATTCCACGAAGCCGCTGAAATCAACGGAAGGGGACAGTCACTCCCGCTTTGCTTGATGCGAAAAGAAAACAAATCAGTTCCCCAAGATATATTGTTCATCCTGCTAAGAATTGCTTACCCCCGCCGGCCGTGTGCTCTGCAATGATCCATGAATTGATACGTTGGCATGCAAAGACAAACCCACCGTTGAGGGAAGGGTAAAATAACGAGCGACTTCACTGATCTGATTTTTAAGCTGATGCGAAGAAATTAGAGAGAATTTTTCATGTCAATCTAGGAACTGATTCAACTGAGAAGGGGGGTTAATTTCAGAGGGGAAACGGACTGTGGACTGTAAGGGAATGATTATCCCACCAGGGTGGATAGGGAAAAGAGTCGAATGTTTCTCTGACGAAGACGAAGTGATGTTACCAACGGGATGGAAGCATGGCGGGACAACTAGGATGCTGTAGCCGGAGTGCCTTTTTTCTGACGTTGGATGGAGTCTTTCTGAAGCGGAGATCCTATCCATTTCGGAGCTTGAAGGTTTTTTAAAGCCCTCTGGGCTAGAGGGGATGGAGCTTCAGAAGAGATTTCCGAGAATATGTAGACTAGAATGATAGTTATAGGAATGTCTGAGGAACAATTTGGCAGCAGATTACTGAAGAAGTTTCACCAGTCGCAACCCCATAGCGGGATAGACAATGTTGATACTGTCGAGAGAGTGGAAATGAGATTCTTTCCGGTAGGAGGCCGAATACATGGGCCATGTCATACATTTCTGAGAATCATTCCATTGAGGATCATCCGACTTTCATGAGCAATCCTCACACGCCCATCCCCTGCGCGTTTCTAATACGGTGCATGGAGTTGGAAGGTACTTCGTACAATTTGTAATGGCTGCTGGCACTGGGCAGTTGACTTGGTGTATGATCAGCTCTAGCAACACTCTCTGATCGGAGAGATACATAGATGAAGTGGAGGCAAGCAGCACCTTGGAGTTCTCAAGACTTCAAATCGGCCTCAACAAGTTTGTACATCAAAAAGACTCAGGAGCCCTTATAACTCTACAAATGTTGTGATTTCAAGGGACACTCGAGCTTCAACTGATTTTCCTCGCTCGAAGTCCATGGGATTGTGAGTTGCAAGGTGAGATTTGGTTTTGGTATCTGCCCCCTGAACCCCATGATGTCGCCATCGATGACCATCTCGGCCACAGCAGAGGACATCGCTGTGCTCTGATGGGCCGGATACCCAACAACCCCCAGGCTGCCACCGTTTGCCTGCATGTCCAAAGCAGTGCAGAGCCAGTCACTCATAGTCTTCTCCAGTCCGCGCTTGTCAAAATGTCATGTCACGCCTCTTCGGAAGCGACAAGCCGCTGCCAGGTTATCATGCACACGGCGGCTGAAAATTGGCGTGGCATCGGCCGGCCACCGGTTGATAAAGCGGGTAGTAATTGGTAATCTTTTAACCGGAACAGATTATAATTCTTATCTTTTATGTAAATATGCATCTTGTTCAAGCGTGCAGCTGCAGATAGTTCACGGCGACACAGGTTCCGAGCTCTACCAATTATGGCATGTCAATACTCAAGCCCAACCAGAAAAAAAACACGCCCATACATTTATGTATATATCAAGTTAATTACTATGACAAACTAGAGATGGTACAAGGTGAATTAAGTTTCTTCTGGGATAATGATAGCAGAATATATGAGCACCAAGAAAGACCGGTCTCTGGTTCAAATAGACAAAGAGAGAGAAAAGATGTACTTCTGATCAAAAGAGAGAGAAATATTTCATTTTTTGGAGAGCCAATCAAGATAAGCCTGACTATGAACTGATTTGGATGAAGATAGGGAAGGGTCGCGGTGTTGGTCGTTCTTCCTGTTACCGTTTTGGCTAGCTCGGCTGTGTTGTTGTTGATGATGTTGATGATGGGTTTTGGATGTGAGGAAGGACGCGGGCAAGCAGGGGAACCAAACCAAGTCTTCTTCTTCTCCTCCTCCTTCTACTCCCCTTGCTCCTTTTGGAGGATTACTCGAGTCATGACTTCGCTCTTCACTCTGTTGTTCTGAGGCTACACTAGGTCGATCTTCAGTTGACTCTCCGGAGTCTGGGGGAAAACCGATGGTTAGATGTTGGACAAGTTTAGTTTCATAAGGAGTAAAAGACAAAAAAAAAAACTGAGTGAGCAAGCGTTCCTCACCAAACAATTTCTCTGGGAGTTTCTCGAAGCGATCTTGACTGGCCACGAGATCCAATAGACAAGGAGGGCGTTTGGGCCGGCCGTTTTTAGAATGACCTAGCAAGTGACACAGCTCTAGGGAGGTCAAATCGAAGGACTTGCCAGTCGGTGGGGGAAATGAAAGGTTGGGCGAAACGGTGGACGTGATGGTAGGGGTGGCAGAGGCCGAAGACGGTTGGGGGAGACTGAGAGCTTTCGATTGGATGCTGGGGGACCGGGTGGATTGGGCACTCTCCTCGCCGGGCTCAACCCCATGGGGTCGACGGGGAGGATGAGTTGGCAAGCGACCTAGTATTTTCTCAACGTCTGAGAGCGACAGATTCAAATCGTGGCATTTCGTTTGATCTTTGGGTAATTCTTTTGCGACCTCTTGAGGGCTGGCAATAATCGGTTCACCACTGCCCTTTGATCGATCACTTGCGGCGCTCAGAAAGGGTGATGGTAATCTTACTAGGGTCGAAACTAGTTGGATGTTAGGGTACGTTTGGAAGTTTTCTTCGGTCCCTTCATTTCGGATGTTCGCCGGTATGCAAGAATCCCAATTCTTGATCTTCTTGAAACTGAATTGGTCGTCCTTGTATCTATGTTCACAAATATACGTCGGCGTTTCAGGTGTCCAAAGGGGGGCGGATGGTCGACCTCGCACTGAGATGAGATGTGAATAGTTTTTGATGCTCAATATTCATGACGATTCAAGTGAAAGAAAGAAACAGAGAATGACTAACCGTATTTTGTGTAGAATAACACAAGGCATCTCCCCATGATATCCCTGAGGATGAGAGAAGAAGAACATGTGTTAATGAATGCAAAGGAGGTTGATGAAAATCAAGATCAAATTGACAGACTCCACCACATGATCAATAAAGTTCCCAGTCTTAAAGACCTCATTTGCGAGGAAAGTTCGCGAGATGTAGTGAACAGTCTCCTCGGGTCTGTAATACCAACACACACTGACCGTGCGGCGGCCAGTATCGACGCGTCGATATGTGTTAAAGATCTGTGCAACTATTGGGCGTGATGGATCATCAGGGTTGAAGATATGAACCCAATCGCCAATCCTCATATAGTCCCCCTTGTGGTGAATCCCTTCGAGTAAGATTTTATCCTTTGCTTTCAGTTTCACCGGTTCGTCATTGCGAGGTAGGTGTAGGCGGTTGCCCGGTCCCATCGTCACACTTGCTAGCTTTCTCGCAGCCCCAACAGGGATCGAATCTCTGAGAGTCTGTGAACCATCTCCTTGAGTGAGTTCTTGATAGAGACGTTTCAAAACGTATACACCAGCTAGGCGATCAGGCATCTTGCTATAAGCTTTCTCAGCATCTACAAACGCTTGATGGAGATCTCGATCAAACAATTCCATTGATGTATACTGATTGTTTTGTAACTGGGCTTCGATCGGATCTAGCTTGAGTGCGGGTGAATCTTGGGCAATAGTCGTATCAGATAAGGCACCTTGATGTGGGATAGATTGGGTAGAGAAACCATCGGCTGGCAGCCGCTCGTGTTTGAGTCGGGTGATGATAAAGTTGGCAAGGGCTTGTGAGTTGAGGTGTGAATTGCCATCTCGCATCCATCCAGACTCCGGATCCGGGACACGATCTTTGGCGGTCATTGGACCATCATCATCAGGGGCATTGTTGACTGGGGTGGGTAAGCTTTTTCTGCTACGCTTATTTTGATTTCTCGTGGCCGTATTTGAAACATGTGAGCTCGCGATTGGTGTCCGAGCTTCGTCAGCTGAGGCAGAGGAAGAAGTGGACTGTGACCGACTTCGCTTAAGAGCTGCCGCCCCGGTCGAAATTGGCTTAATTGACTTGCTCAATGGCTGGGACTCCTGTTCATTCAAAAGTTTTACGCAGAAGGAAAGGATCAGATAATGATGGGTGATTTGGCATAGAGAGAACATGAAGATACCAACCGAAGCCTCCGACGCAAGGGATTTGCGGCTGGTGGGCTCTAATCTTGGGTGAGACTGAGATAGGAGGTTGTAGGAGGTTGTACGTTTTGACGTAAGAAAGTCATTTTTTTTGCAGTTTTTGCCGAGATGTAGGAGGGCTGACTTACTGAGTCTGGGAATAAGACCTCAAGAGATGGGAGAACCTTTTCTGCTGCTCTTTGGTCCCAAGTCTCGTCAACATATTGCTTTGTATGAAAAAACCCCCGAACCAGATGAATACCATATATGAAAGAAGTTGTTCTGATTCACTGAGGAAACCTTTTTGAAGAATAATGTATGGAATTGATGGGAAGACTAACATCCATTCGGATAGCATCCTGCCAGTCTCGGCCGGATTTGGTGACTATATAAGACTGGTGATTGATTGAGTTTGGGAGTTAGAGCGAGGGACAGGATGACTAGGTACATGTGAAAAATGCCGAGGCTCGATTGGAAGTTGGGCTTACCAAATTGGAAAAGACCTGCTTGAGGTCGGTGTAGAGGTCTTTGAGGTTGTCGTAATGATCTTGATTCAATAGATCCTATCAGTTTCGAATTGAGGTGAAAAAACTAGAATCAGTTTCTGTTATCACATGGATATTTCAAGGAGTGTTCACAGAATGAAAACACGTAGAACTAACCAGGACAGATGCAAAGCTCTTTGGCTGGCTGACTTTTTCGTAATAGACCGTGTTCGATTCGTCGGGCAATTCTTCAAAGGGAGTACTGATCAACCTTCCGTTTCTCTGCAGGAGGAAGTGTAAGTATTCTGATTGAGATGAGATAGGCTAGACTGTTGACTTACGTTGTGAAAGTTGAAGCAGCTCTCGATGAGTTTTGACACAAGCTTCCTTCTCGATCGAGCTGAGCATATGGTTAAGTTGTGATACGGTTTTTTCGACTACTGGGTCCTTCCGCCCGACCCGGTTGATAAAAGTGCTGCTTACCTAATTCGCGGGGGAGGGTACTCACTCTGGGGGGAGGGTCGGGCTCGCGGAAATGGGACAGGGGGGAAATGCACCTGCATCATCTTCCCAAATTGATTAAATTCCAATGTATGACTTTTATATCAAAG